AAAAGGCAATCATCTTGAGAGGCCTTATGATTCCACGCTTGAAGTACTCCCCGGATGAAAGCCCGATATCAAGCTTGGACCGCAACATGGTGTTTCCCGTCTCCTTGCGCAGGCGACGGACCTTTTTATCGAGGATGACCGCTGCGTACGTTTCTTTCAAGAAGATGAGCATGACGATACTCAAAACTCCAGAGACAATGACGAGGAGCCAAAAGCTCCAGCGCCAACCGGCCGACTCGGACAGAAACCCTCCCGCAACTGGCCCCACTGTTGTCATGAGTTAAGTGAGCACTACTTTCTCAATAACGTAAAGAACAATATACTTTGAAAAGACCAGCGTACCTATCGGGCCTAGGAGAGGCCCGATGCTGAAGACTGACATGGCGAGGCCACGCTTCTCTTGGCGAATCATGTCGGCAATGGAGCCGCCACCGTTCGTGATGGGACATGATCCAAAGATGCCCGCGAAGAGCCGGAAGACGATGAGGGAGTTGAGTGTCGGGGCGAGAGCGGCACCAACATTGAAGCAAATGAAGCACAGGTTGCAGACATGATAGATGATCGAACGGCCGTATATCTCGCTGAGAGGAGCGCAAAGGAGAGGCCCTGCGGCAAACCCGAGCACGTAGACTTGGGTTGTTAGCTTTGTTATGGGACATGGATGATCACGAAACCTACCGGAGACAACAAACGCGGCAAGGTAGGGGCTGTCGTTTTTGAAGTCCTTCATGAGCGCTGGGACGCCTGGGGCAAATATGGCTGCCAGATCGCGTTAGCCAAACTTGTCTGTAAGCTGAGAATTCCGGAGACAACACGTACAAGATGCCAGAGGCGTGACGAAGGTCATGGCGCTAATCAATGCACATGTCATGGCCTTTCTCCATGTTGGCCAATTATAGGGGTTGGCAGGGTCGTCGTCGCCGTCCCACCAGACCACGTTCTCATCCTCCGAGCTTTCACCACCATCGCCATCCTCCGCCGCCGCCAAACCGCCCTTCTCGACATCATCTCCGGAAGGTTTCCTTGTATTCGAAGCTGTTCTCTGCCGAGCAAGAGACTCTCTCCTCCTGCGCTCACCGCGTTCATCGAGTACGTAGCCTAGACTAGAGGGAATATCGGCATCATGGCCCTGGGCGTAGGCTTCTGCTGTCTTCTCCTCTCTGGTAGGTTTGCGCTTCAGGGGATGGGATATGGGTTCTTCATGGTCGTGGCTTGTTTCGTGAGTTGCAGAATGGCCGTCAAGCCCTCGAGCCGTCTCTTTTGCAGAAGGGTCGAAGACCATGGCGTGTATTTAGCGTTGACAAGGTCGCAGAGGACCACCTGAACAACTGTTAGCCGGTGCAACGGCGTAGCCTACGTCTTTCGAGAGAAAACATCAGTGGGTGGTCTTAACACATGAGGGGAAGACGGAGCCGCCTGTAATATGTGATACGGTCCATCCCGAGCCTTGGCATCGGCATGCGCTACGCCTCAGCCGGGTGTGGGAGACACTGGTATCCATCTGACAGGCTAGAAGGAGAAAACGAGGGGGACACCGTATGTTGATGTGGTGATGACTTACAAACGAAGAGAACGGCGCGGCTCAGAGATGCTCGGATGTCCAACATACGTCGACGTAGCTCTTCAAGTTGAAGACGATCTTACAAATACCTAGCGAGGATAGGGGATGTCACTATTCCAGGCAGACACTGAACCATTGAAGCTGAAAGATATCGCAGCTATGAGAGGCCTTTGGGAATGCGACAACTGACAGCAAGAACGTGGTCTGATGAGCTAAACCCGCCAAGTAGAGGGTTAATCGCAACAGAGAAGCGATGGCAAACCAAAAGAAAAACAGTCATCAATGCTTACAGTCACGGAGACTCTTCCCACTCTTAAAGGGGACCGACCTGCCCAGGCCTGCTTCGGACCTTCGGCCCCATGCTTTACGAACCGTCAGGATGGGAACTGCCCGCATAATAATATCGACCACCAACAAACATGATCACACCACCAAACCGTACCAAGAGGCCCATCACTACATACCCCAGGGTCAGAACTGTTAGCGCTTCACTGCCAAAAGGTCATGTTTTTGGAGAGAACACGCTAACCTTCTTGAACCCTGAATCGGTATCCATACGGAGTAGTCAACATCCCTCGCCAGATCGACATGGGGAGTCCGATCCGAAATCCGTCCACGATTGAATTCGGTTCGCAGCCGTACGAAGAGCGGCGGATAATTTAGGAATACTGGAACCAGCACTGTCTTGAGGATCATAGCAACCAATCCTGTGGCCTAATCGGCTGGTACTTCGCTCAACATCGGAGCGAAGAGCCCGAATCTGCGCCGTTCGGCGGTTCGTGTCGGTGCCCTGTCTTCGCAGTCAAAAGATCTCTGTGCCTTCTGACCGTCTGGATCCAGACCTTGTCAGTTCGCTGCGATGTAACATAAGACGAGCCCGTTTGGCGACGAATGAGACCAAACGTCGCTGCTATCTCCGGGTCATTTCGCTAATTCCGTTGACTGGGCGCAATGTTTTCGGCGGGGGATCAACACCCCTGTACCAAATGAGGTGAGGACGGCACAGCATCAGCTATTGGGCTTTTTGACAAATGAAGTTCAGACCATGGGCGGCTGATGCAAGGTCGAATCCGTATTGGTTTACTGCCGATGCCGGGTCTACAGATTGCCAAGGGTTGCCTTTTTCTTCCGGCTCCGACAATGATCGGGGCCGGATTACGTCGCTTCGGCTGCGCGGTGCGGCAGGCCCACTTGACGCCGGAGCTGCTTGAAGAGCAGGCTGGCTGATCAAGGTGCCATCCAGTAAGTCTAATATCATTGCAATTAGTTAAAATAGTATAAGAAAGTATTTTCTCTTCTATATACTCTAATTAGAAATCATATTGTCTGCTGAGTGTGACATATTGAATCGCAGTGTTAAGAAAAAGTGCTATAGCGTATGTAAATATTAAACAGCTGTAACCCGGGAAGGTGCTATTGAAATTGCCTTGGGCTTCTGATCTTCTCTTTGTTTTATAAAACCAAGGAGGAAAATTCTGTCCACAAGTAATGCGATTATGGCACTTGCCTATTTCAGAAGTTCTGACATAGAAACGACTTTCTTTCTGGGTACATTGTTAGAAAAGATGCCAGGTTATATGGAAGGTGAAACGCAAAAGCAGAAAGACAATATGGTTTGATTCCTTTGTAGGAGCTGAAATCAGGCGAGACCATATGAAGTGAAAATCATTTCAAGCAATGCGTAAATCAACCTTTAGATGAAAGAGGCCTGATACCACCAGGTCAGGCGAAGAAAGCTACAAAGCAACAACGACCTTCGAGGCTGGTCTATGGGTGAGCATCTGTCAGGCCTACGAAGCCCACGACTTCAAGGAAAAAAAAAAAGCTCTGTGTCTGATCTCTACTTGCAACTGACCTCCACCTTGGTATTGTCTTGATTCCATTCACCCAAAACAAACTCACATGGGCACTTGCCTCATTCGCACTCACAGCAAAAACACCCCATCAAAGCTATTGCATCTTACCCTGACACATACATAGGCCATGCTCACCTATTTTTCGAGGGAAAAAAACATTGAAAACCAAAGAGCGAAAAGCCTCGCTTGGCGGAGGTAAAACCGAGAGAGCATCGTCGAGACCGAGGTCTCCATTGCATCAACAGTAAGCCTCCCGAGCATCCATCATTTAAATAGGCCTCGAGCTATTTCTTAACCACCGCATCGCGATATGCTGACACGATCGAAGTGGCAGAACCGGCACTCAAGAAGAAGAGATCGTTGCCTCAGATGAGCCACATCTCAACTCCTCTTCCTCACCCATTCCCAGCAGCTCTGCCTCCAAAGGCAGCCCGCAGGCTGATGGAGCCGCCAAAGTCAGGCTGGCCCGACGCTCCACGCAAGAACCTTCCTGCTTGGAACCGTGTTGTGGACGTTGTGTACCACAAGTTTTGCCGCGGCAAGAGACCTGACGATGACGACTTCGCCTTCGACCAGTCCGTTGCCCTCTACTTCGCCAACCGCGGCCGACTTCAAGATTCAGACTCCGCGTCACCTTACTTCGGACTCCCCACAATCGCCCGATTCAAGATCTGCCAGGAGCTGGCCATGAGCCACAGCGCGGACCTTCCGATCACTCTGACTGCCAGCCGGTCAACCAGGGAGGTCTGGAAAGACGACGAATTCATCAACCTGGCCAGCGCTGTGAAACCTTTGGAGTCGTACCTCAGCGTCTCGTTCGCCTTTCGTGCGGAAATGATGGTAGCTTTTCTAATGACGGAAAGGTTTCACGTCACATTCTCGCCGTTCGTGAACACCTACTTTGATCCTCTGGCAACGCTGTGGTGCAACAGATATGGGCCCTTCATGCAGCAAATTGTCCTCGAACTCGACATGACACGCCTTGGCTTCGGTCCTGGGAAGAAGGCTTACAAACTCCGCGCGGGAACCATCAACCTTGATACGCAAATCAAAATGTTCGTCGAGTCGCAGCTCAAGCGGAGCTGCTCACTCAAGAGTCTCGTCCTTCTTTGCCGTCGATTTTACGGCCAGCGCCCGCAGGTCATCGCTCCTCTCGGTGCCACCGAGTCAAACCCCGATGACTTGGTCGAAGTGTACGAGCCCGAGGGGTCGTTGGCAATGCAGAAAGCAGACGACGGCGTCTACTACTGCCCGGATGAGGCGCTTCATGTCTGCGAGCCGCTCACGCGACTGGAGTGGATGATCGACTCGATGCGCCTGGTTGGATTCAGCAACCAATACACTCACTTTCTAATACGCCGAATCTTCCCAGTGCATCACGACGCCAACAGCCTCAAGCATCATTCTTATCGAGTAGCGCCCTCCTGCGTATGGCCACGCCTTCCGGGGCAATCGTCGTGGATCGATACAGGACGCGGCAGGATTCAACTTGACGATCACTCCCGAGAGTACCTTCGGGGTCTGTACTCTCCAGAAGGTGCGATTCAGCTGCCACCGCCTTACTATGACCCGGAAACGAAGCGCACGTCAATTCGTCCGCCGATCGGGGACATGGTCGATGCTACCGAAGCGAGTGAATTGTACGAGAGACCGGAGACCCGGATGACGATGGCTGAGCAGCGGCCTAGAGCCTCGATGGCATCGGATGCTGAAAGCCTTGAGCGAAAAATGCAGGGCTTGGTATACAAGCTTCGACGAAGCATGTCAAGACGGGGTACTGAGTCTAGGCCGTTACTGGATCGGCAGGTTACCAACAGAACGTCTATCGAGAAGTTATCATTCGAGGCAAGATCTGCGTACTCTGACGGTCATGGGCGAAGCTCGGCGGGCACGTTCGATTCGGAGGAGCAGGCCAGCGTGAACTTGGAGTGTAACCTGAAGCAACCGGCGCACAGGCGAGCCACGAGCATGGCTAGCAGGATCAGAACATACTGATTCGAAACTGGCAGAGTTCTTCGGAGGTTGGTTAGTTGGAGAAATACTTCTAGGTTGATATGAGAAGTCGTCGTCAGTCGTCAAGTTGGTTGAATGGGCGAGGTTCAGCATAGACTTCAGTAGACATCGGCCGATTACAGTGCGAGATACAGTGTATTGACGTCAGTTTACTTTTAATTAAAAAAAAAGACGGGCATGGAAACCCCGCGATTGTGCTAATCTTATCGAACTGTGAATGCCCCACCACCAATCTTTGAAGCTTCACCAAACATCTGCCCCCCGTGAGCCTCTCATTGCGACCAAACGAACTCAAGTGCATCGCATAACATCACAGCCCATCGGTAACTCACGAAACCACCCAAAATGTCCATGCAGCAGGTTCCGAGCAACTTCAACGCCGAGGAGGCCGACAACCTCGAGGATGTGCGTATCTACCTTATTGCGAAGCAGATTTTCCTGATCAACCACCCCATGCGCTAACAATGTGACCCCCGCTCCCAGATCGAGAAGCAGTTTGCTGTCAAGGGTAATTTCCTCATCCGAACTCTACGTGGAGCGATCGAAGGCTAATGTGCCCTTGCGCAGTCGTCCAGCACATGGAGACCTACTGGAAGATCTTGGAGAAGGTCAAGGGCTCCTCACTGCGCCTGACCAAGATCGACGACGAGATCTACGAGCACCTGCAGAAGGACTTCCCCGAGTTCGACCCCGCTGCCACCATCAACGAAGATGAGATGAAGAGCAAGGACGGCAAGGAGCGCTGGAGAAAGTTCATGACGGCCTACGAGAAGAGAGTTGACGACTACAACTTCGGTACCATGGTCCGCGCCAACCCCAAGTTTGAGTACGGCCAGAATGACGTTATTTTTGGTGAGTATCTGATGCGGTGGAATACTATGCAATCAGTCAAGGGCTTCATCTAACACCAAAGCAGTACCGCGCATGCAGTTCTACGCTGTCGAGATTGCCAGGTAGTTCAAAGCCATCGATCTCTGTGTCCCCAACCGAAACTGATCAATGTTCTGCAGAAACCGCAAAGGTCTGAACGACTGGATCTACGAGAAGGCTCAGGCTAGCAATGACAAGGCTTAAATCGTGCTCGAGACAAGAACGTGGCTAGTGGGTGATAGGAGTCAGCCACTGGGACGACTTTCTCTCGGCAACTCCTGGCGACGAACTAGCCCATAAGACGAAGACCTGTTACGAACGATAGCCATATGCGATCATGAGACCAAACGGACATTACACGATCACGTTTTCTGAATTTCACGACAAGGGGTTTGGGAAGAATCGCAAGCTAGCCACGACCACATGGCAGATATGGATGAGACTGGACCGACTTCCAACATGTCTCCGAGTTACGTTCAGAATACAGCGTCACGGCGGATAATAGGCTTCTCCCGCTAACTCGGAAGACTCGCCGACCACCCACGGCTGAGCTCTGGGGCGAAAATCAACATCAAGCATTGCAACATACAATGTCAGCCGCTCATCGTCGCAGAAAGCTTACGTGACCACACAATGTATTATGCATCATACATCACTTTTCTTTCATGGAATCAAACCCAAACACAGCATTATTGTTCCAGGGATGCATACATAATCGGCCACCACGAAAAATGGCCTCAAAGAACTCTTTTTAGACAGGCATGCATTGAATCAATGTAGCGCCCACTCCCTTCGCCGACTCACACTGACCACTTCGATTAGCCCCTGACTGATATCAAAGACGACGAATAGAAGGTTGCTAAAGCTCGAGGTCTTTGAGAACTGTTGGGCTTTGAGACGGCCCTTCTTCCGCTGGTAATCTCTCCTTTGCTTCAACCCTTGCTTGGCATCGCTCAAAGACCAGCGCTGCCTCTGTTGCCAGCCCGAGTGTGGGAGAACAACAGAAAGCCCAGGAGAAAGCTTCTAGGTTGTAGCAAAGGCGCACAATTACAGTGAAGGTTCTGGTGAGTGCGGCTGCATATGGCGACACAGAAACACAAGACTACATGCAATGAATGATCCAACTCCGGCGAGGCATAAAGAGATGGGAACATTCGACAAGCTCAAGTAAACCGGCGCTGGCAAGACTTACCAAATGTCTCCTTCCTCACAGTCTATGTCGTGCTGAAGAACTGCTCCGCTTAGCTAGGTCCTTCGATGCCTCTCAATCAGATCTTTTTTCACCTAGGCACCTAGATCAATATCGAGTCTCTGCTACCTTCTTTTAATTCCGCGATACCAGTACCTCTGGGCCCAGAAAAAAGCGTCTGAGCCATCGCGATGCCTCGAGAATCCGGATCAGTACAACAGGATGTGGCGACTTTTAAGCATCTCTTCGCCTTCATGCAGTGGCGACATGGGGGGTTTCTCGCTCTCGCCATTGTAGCAGCCTGCGCCTGCGCTGCAATCCGAACGGTTTACGCGATTGCCTTGGGCCAGGTCTTCCAGATCATCACAGACTACGGTAGCGGTATTGCGAGTCCGCCAGATACACTCTCTCAGATATCCAAGTGGTGCAGCATCATCTGCTATCTTGGAGTGGGAGCGCTGATTGCCAATTCCATTCTCATGACGACCTGGGTAATCTTTGGCGAGCTTCAAGCTAGAAGTGCCAGGGAGGCAACATTTCACGATCTTCTGTACCAAAAAGTGAGCTGGTACGACGGACAACCCGAGGGGACGCCCGGCATGCTTGTGAGGATCGAATCGTGAGCATTTGCTTATCCACGACGTTCTCCGGAACTGGGCTAACATTTCTCAGACAAGTTCGAGAGCTACAGATGGCAACATCTCAAGTATTCGGCTTTTTGGTGGTCGACGTCATCGCCTCCATCGCATCTCTGGTCGTCGCATTTGTTCTCTCCTGGCAACTGGCTCTGGTTTTGATCTCGACCGTCCCTTTGTCCATCGTCGTATTCTACCTTGCAAACCGAGGGCTTGGATTGGCCATCAATAATCAAAAACAGCATCTCACCCAGGCATCGAAGCATGCCAATGCCTCAGTCACCGGCATTGATCTAGTCAAGATATACGACGGCTTCAACCAGGAGGTGTGGCAGTACCACAATACGATAAAGGCCGCGGAGAAGCAGTATCTGATACAGTCTCGATGTAATGCTGTTCAGATTTCTTACATGCAGTGTTGGATCTCGGCCCTGTTCGTTGCTGGGTTCTGGTTTGGTCTTTGGCTCGTTACAAGGGGGGCGAACGCAGCGCAAATTCTCACTACGTTCTACGCAATTTTGACGGCCTTGCAGGGACTCTCCAATGCGATCCCACAATGGCTGGTTCTCGTCAGAGGCATGAGTGCCGGCCAGTGTCTGAAGATGAGCAGTAATCCTGGAGGCAAAAGACCGTCGGAAGAGAGGCTCGGTTTTGCCCCCAGACGATGCATGGGTGACGTAAGGGTGAAGAATGTAAGATACGAGACCAGAACTTCACGGGACCCAGCTAATGTTTTCAGGTGAGCTTCGCCTACCCGTCGAACCCAGCGGAGACTATTCTCAGGAATACTTCATTACACTTTGCTCCCGGTCGGACCAGTTTCATTGTTGGGAAAACGGGTTCAGGAAAGAGCACCATCGGCAGCTTGCTAGTGAACTTCTATGACCCTTCATGCGGGGAAATACTCATCGATGGCCGCCCCATTGAGGCAGTGAAGAAAAGTTGGCTCCGACAGAACGTGACTCTACTTCAGCAGTCCAGTATCGTCCTCAAAGGCACGTTTTTCGAAAATGTTGCCATCGGCCATTCAATTCCAGACCATGTCTCGATGGAGGAGGTGAGAAGAGCCTGCGACATGGCTCTTCTTCAATCAACAGTGGCGGCTTTGCCCAACGGAATGGAGACTTGGATTGACTCCTTTGGAAGCAGTCTCAGCGGCGGACAAATACAGCGCCTTGCCCTGGCTCGAGCCAGACTGAGGGATACCCCAGTTCTCATTCTTGACGAAGCCACGAGTGGACTGGATCAGACTAGCAAGCATCTGATCATGGAGGCCGTTCGAACATGGCGCAAGGACAAGACGACAATAGTCATTACCCACGATCTATCGCAGATTGGAGAAGACGAATATGTCTACGTTCTGGACAAAGGCTGTATCGTGCAGGAAGGCACCTGCAAAACGCTGTCAAGAGAGTTTGGCAGCGTGTTCGCGCAGATGTATTCGAATTCGAACGACGGACCGCACAAAGAAACGAATCACATACGCAACGACACTTCGAATAGCGGACTTGACTTCAAAAGGAACGAATTTGGAGGTAACAGCAATTCTTACGGTTTGGGTCAGATGAGCTCAGGAAGCCCTTCTCTTTGGCGCACCTCGATCGAGGCCAGCTCGGCATACACACACCGCTGGGGATTGAATGCTGCTCGTCGAAGATCCTATGCCGCGTTTAGTCAATCAGCGTTCCCCCGAGAAAGTGTCTACGAATCGTCAGAATGGGAGACAATCAGGGGTTCATTTTTTGAGCAAGAGTCCCCAGCACTCCATGATGATTCGACTATGGGAGCTGTTCCGAGTGCAGGTCACGCCATACAGCTCTCAAGAGGTACCTCGACCTCTACGCGACGTCATTGGAATGATTCCGAAGCCGCCACTTCTAACGAGCCCGAGCAAACCAGTTCCAAGATAGAAGTGAAAGTCACCAGAAGCGACAACGAGGGAACTGAGGCGAAGTCCTTGGGCAGCATCTGCCAGACCGTGTGGCCGAAGTTGTCCAGTAAAGACCGACTCCGGCTGATCGTGGGTCTGGTGTCATGCGTTGTTGCTGCCGCGTGCAATCCGGCATTCTCTTACTGTTTTGCTCGGCTACTGGCCACATTCTGGGACACGAAAGACCAACTAGGTGCAAGCAAAGTCTGGGCGATCTACATGATCATCATTGCCATCGTCAGTGGAGTCTCAATGTACCTCGAGCGGTATTTCATGGAAGCTGTAGGCCAAGCTTGGATCAACTCCCTCCGCCTCGAGGCCATGAAACGCATTCTTCGGCAGTCGAGATCGTGGTTTGACCGGCCTGAGAACTCAGCAAGTCGCATTAGTGGGTGCTTCGACCACGACGCAGAAGAGATGAGAAACCTGGTCGCCCGTTTCGCCCCCATCGTTCTGATGGTAGCCGTCATGGTCACAATCTCAACCGCTTGGTCTCTTACGATATCCTGGAAGTTGACTTTGGTCGCGACCTCTGTGGCACCTGTCATTCTCGCTACAATCAAGGTTTTGTCCTACACCAGCACCAAGTGGGCCTCGACCTGCGACGAAGCAGCGACAAAGACTGCTTCGTTCGTTCGAGAATGCATCGCCAACATTCGGTTCACCAGGGCTTTCACTCTGGACGAGTACTTTAGGAAACGGCATGAGAAGTCGGTCAAATCGACTTACAAGCTCGGGTGGGAAAGGGGATGGAGATTAGGACCACTTTTCGGCCTGAATCAGTCGACCAACTACTTCATCATCGCGCTCGTCTTCTGGTACGGTAACTATCTTTCTGTTGACCAAGCCGAAATGTCGCCTGCCAACCTCCAGCAAGTTGTCAACTTACTCCTTTTCTGTGTCGGCCAGGCAGGATCAATGGTCAATCTGATACCGCAAGTCTCGGCTTCGCAAGCAGCCGCAAGTCGCATGTTACGTCTAGCAACTACTTCAACCGACATCTCGACTCAAGCTCCCAGCTCTCGACTACTCAACTCGCTTTTCCCAATCAAGATGAGCAACCTCGACTTCGCGTACCCGTCACGCCCGGAACAACAAGTTCTCCACAAAATCTCCCTGCAAATCGAAGCAGGGACATGCACATCAATAGTCGGAGCTTCGGGATGCGGCAAAAGCACGATACTTTCTCTCTTGCTGGGATTGTATGGACCCTCCCCACGACTTCCGACGACCAGTACCAGCTCTTCCAGTTTTACTTGCGCAGGAGTCCCAGTCGACCGAGTCAGTAGATCCCAACTCTGTTCTCTGATCTCATTTGTTCCGCAAACCCCTTGTTTGTTTCCAGCCACGGTAGCCGAGAACATCGCATACGGCCTGGCAGATACGTCGGTGCTACGAAAGCATGGCAACTTGAAAAGAGCTGCTCAGGCCGCGGGTATCCACGAGTTCATCACTTCACTCCCTCAAGGTTACAATACCATTATTGGAGACGGTGGACAGACCGTATCAGGTGGCCAGGCACAGCGCATCTGCATAGCCCGGGCATTGGCCAGAAGACCACAACTTCTCGTCATGGATGAGCCTACGAGTGCCCTGGACGGAAAAACAGCTGATTACATTCGACAGACGATTCAGAGGGTCTTGGAATATCAGGAGAACGGAGGTTCGAGTGTTGTGCTCGTGACACACGACCTGGAGACTATGCGTATAGCCAATCGTCTTGTTGTTGTGGAAGATGGTCGGGTTGTTGAGGAAGGCAGCTTCGACGAGTTGAACATTGAGGGCACTATATTTTCCAAGCTCTTGGAAGGTATTTAGACAGAGCCCATGGTCGTTGTAATAGACAAGTTTGACATTCAACTTGTGCTCACCAGTGCGTACCATATAACAACCCTCGCCAACGGGTTTATTCCACTGTTTCTTTCCCAGAAGACAGTGAGGTACTGCCCCGGCCAGTTCCCGTCCTTTTCCATGGTCATCTTCAGCCATGCGGCTGAGGCCAACCCCTTTGTCGCATATATTGTGAATAGCTGCACAGCAGACCAGCCAGTCTAGCCTCATCCATCGTGATGAGTCGTCTGCCCCCTCAACCCCTCGTCTCTTACCCCTCGACCTCGTGGATCCCCTTGCCATCTGTTTGTTGTACCCCTCGCCAAGAGGGTGTTTCTCTAAAATCAACCAATGGTAGAGGGAAAGAGCAGACTGAAATTCTCGAGCGGCTTCCCTCGACAGTGAAGCCTCCGTTGACCGTCTCCATCCTATCTGGAAAATTTCGTCCCATACTGTCGAAGTGAGACGCGAGAAGAGGGAAGGAGACGTTGTGTTAACTTGCCTGCTCTCCTCTGAGCGAAAAAGAGATTCTTCTCTCTCTTCTCACCCCAACCATCACCGACTTTTCGCCTTCTTTCCTTTCGTTCACGTTCAAGCAGCCGTTTATCGTCGACAGGATCTCCTATCCTTCTTTTCACTCATTTCGCCCGCGTATCTCACATTGCGGCAGCTGACTGGCCAGATTTCGACCTCTGCTTGTCGAGTTTCGTTCTTTTGAGAGGATTTCTGTCGTTTCAGCAGCAACCATCGCTACTGATAAATCGCTATCCAAAATTGCTGTGGCACTCGCAGTTCGTCAGACCACAGTTATTCCTTTGACTGGCACTAATTGAGAATTGTAGCAATCAGCTTTACAAGCATCTCAGGTTCTCCACGATGGATGAGATCCAGAACAAGAATGGTGGCGATAGCAATGACCACGGCCGTGGTGATGGCGCTGACACTGCCACTGACGGCGGACACATCGTCTTCGTCACCGAGACGCCCAAACTCAACGAGGCTAAGCCGTCCAAGATCAAGTCTGTCGATTGGCACAGCGGCGGAGGCATTGTAACTCGCATCGGAGAGGGCACCACCAGTACGTCCACCTTTTCCCGAACCGTTCAGGTGAACGTATGTGACTAACAGAAGAATCAGTACGCACAATTGTCAAGACCACATCGGTCTCTGAGAGTATTCGGACGTACTCGGATACTCCCCAGACGACGACGACCATGAAGACGCAGACGGGGATCACTGAGGGAGTCACCACTTGGTTTACCGACATGCCGACGGCCACTCGTAGCGTAGGTTCCACCAACCTGCCTTGGACCACAACTACCATCCCCACGACCACCGGGGGCTCAGCACCTGACGGCGATGACAAGCCAGAACACGAGCTGACCCCAATCATTGGCGGCTCTGTTGGTGGATTTTTGCTCTTCATGTTTCTCGTTGGCGGACTCACTGGCTTATACAAGCTCAAAAGGACGAAGAATCAAGTCGTCGTCGTCGACTTCGATGCCACGGCCGGCGCTGGCAGCCACTCTGCGCCTCAGCACGCGCATGAGAGTTATAATATTGGCCAGCGTCCACAGACAGCCATGACTATTGGAGCCAATGCCGGTGAGTCTCAGGCCGGTCCGTCTCAGGCCGGTCCGTCTCAGGCCGGCGCTTCTCAGGCCGGCGACCGCGAACAGCATCTCCACCATTCGCACCAGCCCATGATCGCAGAGCTGCCTGCGGATACCAGCTACTGCCGGAAGCTGCGCGAGTCTCACAATGAGTCTGTTTAGGAGTCATATCACTGGGCACTTTCCTCGGTGAGCAAGCAGAAAGGGCATGGTGTCGCGTGGCGTTACCAAGACAGGGTGGCACTCAGGTTGTTGGATTATTTCGGAATCGAAGAATGGGTTCGTTGGTTCTTCTTTCTTTCAGGATGTCATATTCATGTAATCATTAAAACGGGCGAGGGCCCCAAAGGAGTGACGGAGAGGAAGAAGAAGAAGACGGTTCGTGCATCTAATGCGGACGAGGAGTGGCACGGTGAGCAACAGGTTGAGGCAGGTCGGTCAAGGTCAGGAAAGAGCAGAGCAAGGATCCTGATGATTAGGCTTCCATACGTATCGGGAATAAAAAGGATATAAAAGCACCATTAGTCGTGTTTTATCCACAGACGCTACCTGAATGCGACCCTGATCTCGTACTCTCCCGATATTTTCCCCTTCAGGCTTCATCTCCTCTCTTCTTATTCAGCTACGATATCTCTTCGATGTCTTTTTCTCGCGCAAACATCAGATCACTTCCAACTCCAACTTTTCAACAGCATCGAGTTTCCTCCGACGACGCCGTCGATGACCGATAGCTGGTCCACGGCCGTATGTCTCAAGATGACGCCGTCGCCACGGCTGTGGTGCAGCGGCAACCCAACCAACCTCTCTCTCTCAGGTAATTAGTCGCGGCGGGAATAGAATGGGAAAGAAAAGGAATCCACGCTCATGCCGGTTTATTCCCATCTAGGAAAAACCCCAAGATGGCCAGCCGGCGGGGACGACGGACGACGGACAGATGGACGATTCATGGCACTTGTCAAAGCCCCAGCTCGTTTGGATCAAGACCAATCGCCATGCGGCCACCCCAGATGACCCCCGACTTGGCGTACTGAAGACCCCGTCGTCGTCGCTAAACCCGCCGAGGGTTAACCATCCCCATGGTTTTGTTTCGGCCTGGCCATTTATTCCATTCTATTTTTTTCTTCTTCTTTTCCACCGCTGGAAAATTGAGCGCCGGCATTATCAGCCTCAAAAATCTCAAGATGAGAGGTGTTCCCGGTCTCCCGCGTGACACTGTTGGTATGGTATGGTATGGATGTGCCCGTCTGCGATCTGCGACAGCATCTGCGATCATCCAGACTGGTCTCCGACAGGATGACATGACGAGACTGTATCCATCCGTACCCGTGGCAGCTATTAGCTCGGCGCGCCTTTTCTCTTCCTCCCGCCGCCTGCATGCAGGCCAGCCTGGCCCCGCGTCGTTCGTCTTCGCCCTCGCACCGGCAAACACGACCGGGTCATCACCGCATAGCACCATGTCGAGATCCGTCCCCCCGCCAAATCAAGACCCAAGATTCGCGGGGTCTGTCAGCTGGGGAATCAAAGATCCTCTCTTCAACCCCTGCTCTTCTCTATGCGCGTGCCAGGCACAGTAGAGAAGGAAACGGATTTCGTAATTGCATACTCGAAACCTCCAGTTGTATTCGTACAGATACGGCACTCTGCAGTACGAAGTTGTGGCCGGCTCTCTTCCCGCCTCCGAGCCGTCTGCCGAGCATCGCATTCCCATCTTAATCTCCATCTTTCACTCAGTTTTCCCCCTCCTCCTCCTCCCAAAGCTCCATCCGGGACCCTTACCGCCTAGGGTCATCTAGGGTCATCAAGGGCCAGGGGGTAGGGCACAGCCGGCCGGGTCCTTCTTATTCCCGTTCACCCAATGCGCATATCCGGTCCTATAATATAACATCCTCCGGCGCCCTTGATGTCAAACCGGGACGTCACCTCTTTCTCTCGGTTTTGCGCACTTCGTTTTCATCATCTGTGCACCCGTGTGGATAGAGGTCATGGATTCTGGAATTGTCAGCAACTCACCTGCAGCTTTCTCGGCTTTCTGATCAGTCTGCCAACGCCCTCCCCTCGACACCCTCTCCCGTTTCCTTACCTAGCCTCACATCGACACGACCATGACGACCCCAGGAACCGACATTGAGAAGACGCCGCGAGGCTCCAGGTCAACCGGGGAAATACCCTCACCTCAGGATGCTTCTCCTCAATCCGGCTCAAGAGGTTGTCTTGACGACAACAGTCCCATCACTTATCGTTATTTGACTTTCGACTCAGTCATTCCCGAGCCGGCCCTCCTCGAGTCCACCGAGTCCCGGTCACCACCGCCAGCACCGGATCTCACCCGTTTCAGTAATCCTCTGCAATGGCCTCACGCACGGAAATATCTGATGTTGGCGCTCTCCTGTATCGCCACATTCCTGACCGCTTACACTGCTGGATCGTACTCGCCGCCGGCCTCCATCATGGCCGATGACCTGAACACATCCCGTCTGGCAGTACTCACCGGCATCACAACTTTCTGCATAGGTTTTGCCCTCTCGCCGATGGTTCTCGCGCCCCTGTCAGAACTTTGGGGTAGATACCCGGTCTTCGTCATATCGGGAGTAGTATACGTTGTATTTCAAGCCGTTTGTTCTGTTGCACCGAATCTCGCGGCCATGCTCATAGCCCGCTTCCTCGTGGGTGTCGGCGGCTCCGTTTTCAGTTCTGTCATCGGCGGCGTTATAGCAGACTTGTGGGCGAAGGAGCAGAGGAACACGCCAATGGTAACCTCCGATTCCCCCGTTGGCATGAGAATAGTTAGTAATTAACACCACTCTAGGCCATATTCAGCGGTGCCGTCTTGGCTGGCACGGGAGCAGGGCCTCTCGTCGCCGCCGTCATGACGAAGCGCATGGGAGCTACGGACCCGACAATGGCATGGGTCAGTCTCCGTCTCGTCAACGATCGATGTGTCCCTGACTAACACATATTACACGTCCAGAAATGGATCTTCTGGCACCAGGTCATCATCGACACAGTCCTCGTCGTCGCCCTTGCAGTCCTTTTTAAAGAAAGTCGCGGCTCGGTTATCCTGTCGAGGAAGGCCAGGGCTGTGAATACGTGGTACGAGCGACTCGAGGCCACCGGCTACTACGGAGTCTGGCTCGAAGACACGACAAATAACGACACCGCAGGCGCAACCTCGGACACAGACACCCAGGAATGTTCCTGCTCCGGGCCGGAGAAGGGCTCATCAACGTGCCGTTCAAGTCGTCGAACGTCTGCCCAGCTGTCACCGCAAAGATTACGCTGGCTCATCAAAGAGGATGAAGAAAGGGGGTCTGTCGCTACGATGATATCCGTCTCGGTGTCCAGGCCGTTCCACCTCCTCTTTACCGAGCCCGTCGTCTTCTTCTTCTCCCTCTGGTGCGCTTTCGCCTGGGCCGTTCTGTACTGCACATTTGGAAGCATCCCGCTTGCATTCTCGCGCACAAGGAATATGGACATCGAGCAGTCTGGCTACTTCTTCACCGCCATGATCGTCGGCTCCGTGGTGGCCACCATTGTTGGTGTACTCCAAGATGAACTGCTGAAACTGCCCCAGTGGCGTGCCGATGCTCCTGCCGACAACCTGTCCGCGTTTTGGCTCTTCATGCGGCGGCGCCTCCCCGCCGAAGCACCCGAGTCGCGTCTCTACTTCACTTGCGTCACGGCTACTTTGCTTCCCGTCGGCCTCTTTCTGTTCGGCTTCACGGCCCGCCATGAATTCCACTGGATTGCTCCGGCCATCGGCATCGCGTTCGCTACCTGGGGTATTTACTCGGTCTACCTGGCGACCTTCAACTACTTTGCCGACATTTACCACAAGTTCGCCTCGTCCGCTTTGGCGGCGCAATCCTGCTGTCGTAACATCTTGGGCGGCATCTTTCCTCTCGTCACCGGTGCTTTATTCCGGAATCTTGGAGAAGCTCGCGCCGGAGCACTCCTCGGCGGCATAGCAACCGGCTTAACACTTATCCCATGGGCGCTGGTGTTTTTTGGTGAAAGAATCCGCGCCAAGAGCAAATTCGCCATCGTGAGTTGCGCAGTCCTCCTTCGATATCGCCGAAGCTAACCGTATTGTGCTCAGAATCTGGAGCCTCAGAGATGAAGAGTACTCCGGATCATGCAACTTGATCACAATCTGCCTCATACTCGCATACACGTAGCGTTGCTTGGTTATTGCTTATCACAGATGGATCAACGAATATACCCGAGGTGGTTTGATGCATATAGAACATTTGGTGGAGCTGCATAGCGATAGCGTCCTTGGTGCCATGAAGCAATTTGGATATACCAGGCTCGGAAGCTTGTGGGTAAGGGATTTGTTTTCAAGCGAGATCATGCATGGTAGATACTATGGTTCCTCTCGGGGCACAGGCAAAACTCGACTTGTATAGACATGACAACGGAAAGTAAAAGGGTCTTTGGATGCCCTACTTCAACATTTACTTCTAAATGTATATGATTTGATCACCCGTTCAAGTGTAATCTAAAAGCTGATGCTTGGTTCGCTCCGGCCAACCTATATCGCCATCACCGTTCTCAAAAAGAAACCCTTCAGTCAACATCATCGGCATTCGTCTGCTCTGCCGCGGAAGGGCCCAATTGTTTCTTGGCCTCCTCTAGAGCTTTGGTCTCATCATGAGAGTCATGCTGCACTGTGGATGGCGGAGGCAGATCGCCGACCTTGGACGCGTCTGCACCTGTTTTGAGCGATCCGTCCTCGTTGACGTCGGTCTTGTAAAGTATGGTGAACAAGACAACGAGGTAGACGTCGCCCGTGGAGCGATTGCGAAGAACGTATCTAAGCTGGTGTGAGCGCTTAGGCCCTTCCTCCCTGCAGAAAGTAAGAAACACATGAGATGAGAACATAGAAAATTGGGGTATCTAGGTTGGAGAAGTGTTGTTGCTGGATCTCATTCCCACACCAATTGCAACGTCCCCTTGGAACTAAGAAGGAAGCATAAACAGTGGAGGGGTTTGCTCGCAGGAGACACACAAAGATATGCTAAATCTGGGAAAGAAGAGGGAGGCTTACCGCAGTCCTTGTCCGTCCCAGTATTTCATGATGGCGAGTTGGAAGCCCGGGAGACGGAGCGCCAGGTTGGAGAAGTCGAGGTATGGGTTGAAGAAATCCATACCGTACGTCTTTCCATACTCGAACATCCACTGCTCCTTGCTGTCTTTCCTGAGCGCCCACTTCATGCGCTCCTTGGAGGTAGCCGGGGCACCGATCTTCTCTCTCACCTCCAGTCCGGCTTCGTCGCCTCCTTCCTCGAACCACAAGCCGCCCTTCTGCTCGTCGTAAGTTCCTTCTCCGACGTGCATGACGTTGAAAGAGCTCAAAGCGGGGCCGTACAGGTACGGCGTGTCAGCGTACGCATCGCCTTCTAAGCCAGGATCAATCCACCACTTGACGATATTCATGGCCGTGTTGAAGCCCGGAGGCAAGCGGTCCCTGATAGGATGGTCGAAGTCGTTGCCGAACTGTAGGTCGGCTGCGGAGATGCCCTCCTCCGAGGAGCCCGCGGGCTTCTTAGGTGTGAAGCGAAAGGCGATGCTGTATTGATCATTATTGGTGGCATGAGGCTCGGTAGAAAAGTAGGATGATGTCTCAGGAGACTGGCGCGGCAGGCCGGCGTAATTTTGTATCCTCACATTGAGCTCGATGTCGGCCAGATCGGTGCTGATCTTGATGGGCTGAGACTTGTTGACGGGTACTTCAACTTGCGAGTCGGCGTCGTACTTGGGACCAGCTGTCACCCGTAGGATGTACTTGTCGGCCATGGTGGTTGTGTTAGTGAGGATATGACAGGAAGACTGCTAGGCAGAACAGGGAGTTGATGGGGAGATGTCCGTGGCTTTTGTTGCCAAGATCAGTCTTTGCCAATGACGAGGATGAGGAAGACCTTCAGCCGAGTCTGAACGAGAACGCCTTAACAAGCCGGAAAAGCAGTGGCTTGTGCTGATGTTTCAGAATGTCAGCGTGTCGTCTTGTTATATTTGATGTTCGTCCTCTAGCTGAAGTGAGGAGATGAGTAGCTCTGACGCCCGATGACGATGTCGGAAACGGGCGTGGTTGGTACAGAATCGGATTCGGGTTGGAGTTGCAATTGAGGTGAACAGAAAAGTTTGAGCAAACGTCGTCCCAAGATGAAGAACTTTGCCCTGGAGACAGAATTCTGGAGGGGATTCTTCAGCTGTTTGGTTCAAAGTGGTGATGACGGATCCCTGTCCTTGTCGATGTCGCCGCCTTTGTCAAGAGAAGAACTGCACTCGGTGTGTGTGGTAAGGCTTAAAAATTGGGGGGGAAACGAGGAGCAATGACGTGTAGATGGGAGACTAAAACGCCGGGCATTGCAAGTGACAAAGTGACAAGCGTTTGCAAGGCGCTTACCTTATCCGGAAACCTTGGATCGCTCGTGAAACTTTTAAAGACAGACAGCTCTGGACTCCCGTATGCCGTGCAAAATGTCATTCAGACATGGGGCATATTGTCGGGTGAAAACGGGAATGCAAAGACAGAGGAAAATTCGGTAGGGCCTATTCAATGACGCAGAGTCCATCGCCTCTCAACATGTGATTAGCGGGGTGGCGGCGGGGTCACATCTGTTGAGCTCAGACTCGGAGTAAGGCACCGACGACAGCACTGCAGCAACACGGAGACTCGAGGCCTCGGAAAATTGCTTCTCTGTTTAATTCCCCTTCCTTGTCCTGCGCAGCAAGGCGCTTTCGTCTGAGAGAATCCTCTCACTAGCCGCAGCGAAACACTGTCCAGAACGCCCGCAACTTGGTCAGAAAACATGATCTCATAGCGACATTATCTTCCTGCTGCTAGTGTAACATCTCAACGCACCCACCATCATGGGGATATGAACTCGTCAATGTCAACCCTTTCAAAAAAGCTGATGTGGCCAAACGTGACCCAGTACTGGGCAAGTCTGTTGTGAGAAATGAGCATGAGTTGGGACTCGATGTACCGATCTAAGAAGTGTCAGCATTTATCCGGCGTACGAGGGGAACCGTACCGACCTTCCAAGAAGCCTGTCCCAGCCACGTGCCCTTTGCTCTTCACAACTCGCGTGCCCTGGAAAGGTGGTTCTCGCGCCAGCCCCACGAAGCCTGCCTCGCCGAGGTCATCTGCTACAAAGGTGTACTCTCCTCGCGGCACATTCGGATCCCCAGTAAGCTTGATCGCCTCTAGACGGCCGCGATGCACCCTCGCGTCCGTTCTTCGCCGGGTCCAATCTTCCTCAGATTCATGAGGGCCGCGCACGAGGCCAAGGTCCTCGTCAGAAACATCCTCATCGTCTGGCTGGTTGATCAACAGAAATTCACAGCCATGGCCGCTGTAGTCACCGACCCAGATACCGCGCCATGGCTTCAGAGGTGTCGGCGTGTAAACCACAGGGTCCAGGGTTGAGTACGTGACAACTTCTTCTCCGATGTGTACACCAGGCATGCCTCGCCCCGCACCTGCCATGTTGGCATGAATCGCTCGGATCAGTCCGACCGGGCCGGCGCCGACGAACATGCCCGGTGCCGGACCACCCGCCATCTCCATCCATTGCCGGATGCGGAAGGCCTGGTCTGATGCTTCGACTCGGCGGGTTGGCAAATCGGCGGGCGACAGATCATCGGCATCCAACCCGGAGGCGACACCCGCGACGCGATGACGGGCTGGTACGGCCGGGGGAGGCCATACGTTTCCGTATGGGAACGACGTTTCCATCCTCGACGTGGCAGTCGTCCTGTCAAGCGGCCGAGCCATCAAGAAGTTGCTAAACATGGCATCAGACCGATCATTTATCACCATAGGCACCTCGGGAGCAAATAGACTCTTCATTGCGCCGTAGAATTGCGGAGATTCTTCTCGGTCAGACACGCGGAACTGAAGGACCGGTTTGTCCAGATGCAGCTTGACGCGGGGTTCGAAGGCGTGGATCATGACACTGGTATCGGCAGGCCAGTGCTGGTACGTCGTGCGATTGCTGATGGCCAGTAGTTGGTATCCCTCGATGCAGCCTCTCCGCGGATCGTACCTCACAATGATCATCTTGCCCATGAGGTCGCGATCGCAAAACCAGATCTTGTACTTGGGCAGAAACCATCTGGGATCGTGCGCGGCGTATAGTTCGCGGTATGTGTTGCATGGGTATGGTGTTTCGAGTTTCACTCCTGGCACGTTGGCTTGCACTCTCTGGTACCAGTGGATGTCGGACGCAGCATGAGCATGGAGGGTACGACATGTCCCGGACACAATGGCCAGATCGCAAGGAGGTAGGTAAGCGAGGATCTCGTCTATAAGCTCGGATGGGAGTGATAGGAGTCGGCAGCCGCCGTTAGCAGGCGAGCAATTAACATCTAGCGCAGAGAAACAGTTAGCCTTACTGCGAGAAAACGAAGAAGCCAGGATAGAAAGTGCGTACCAGGAGGTGCGACGCCATCGAAGCCATCGGGGAGAGGGTAGTAGTCTGTCTGGGACGACCCGATTGTCTTCCGGCGGTCGGTAGCGTCACTACGCAAGCCTTCGTCAGAGACGTAAGGCAGAATGTAGAGGTTCTCCTCGACTTCCGGGTCGATGCCGCCGTAGTTGCTGCTTGAATTGGAGACGGTTTCGTGAGCTGTCGGCGCGGTGGATTCGGAGGCTGGGTTGGAGAGCGAGGGACTGGAAGCCATCTTGGTGGGGTCGTCCATGTCTTCGCAAACCATGGGCGATGCAGCCGGGTATCGTCGCCAACTGGGGTTCTGATTGTCGTGTTGTGACCGAAGCGGGCAAAGGATTGACAGAGATGCCGAGGCTGTCGATTGGTTCTGTGGCCGATCTGCGAGATGAAGTTGGCGGATGGACGGGCGAACAATAGGTACCTAGGAGCGGTATAGGCTGGTTGGCAGAGTTGTGTCAAGTCGCTTGGTTGATGGAATGGATGGGTTAGCTGGCTGGAGGAATGGTTTCTTATCAAGGTTGGTGATTCATGGAGGATGAGGTCGGGTAAGAATGATGCGTAGTGGACGTGCTCGTCAGTGTTGGAGTCATGACTCCAGAGCGAGCCCAGGGCCCAGGCTGGGAGTCTCCACGTCTCCGACGAGCCGATGGTTGTTGTTGTTGGTGGTGGTGGTGGTGGTGGTGGTGGTCAGGTCCAGTCCAGCCGGTCGCGAACAGTCGCACGCAGTCGGTCCAGAAGTTCCCTGGTGCTTGTCAGGTCGACCGTTGCTGATGGTGCAACCCCGGCTACGGGATACGGCATGCCAGGAGCTTGGTAAACCCGTCAGCTAAGGTATGCCGCCGTTGTCGGGGGCCCGACTAATGCAATGCCAGGCGGAAGGGATCTGGTACTGGAAGAGGAAGGCTGCTAGGGGGGTATAACATGAGACGATACGATGCTTGGGGGCTAAGGCAGTGCTAAGGTACCTTAGGGTAAAGAAACTCTTGCTTCTATGCATGGTGGTGCACGTCAAGAGCTGCGACAGCGCATCAACACACGAGATGCTTTCTTGTCTTGCATGGAAAGCACGGATGCTGGGCACCGGGAGCTGGAAGCAGACGTGGACGGGAAGATGGTTTGCGGGGGAACTAAGTGCGGCTGGAGGTAGGTACCTACTGCGTACCTATCCAGAGGTTGGCCTCTGACGTTGGGCACCTTGCGAGTTACTCGCTTATCGGACCTTATGCCCGATAGATGCAATAGCCCCTGGTTCACAATAACGCCATCGATAAGACTTCGGACTTGAGGTTCAGAAAAGGCTTGCCTATGTATGGATACCTACCTACTTTCTATACACCATCAGCTGAGATACCCAGGAGTCTTGCCTTCAAGTTGGCTGGTGAATCCCAGGCATCTTATCTCAGGCCCGGACTTGAGTGCATCTCCGCTTACTCAGTCCACCCTTTGGAATGAGCCAAGGCGGCGCTTCTCTCTTAGTGCAACCAATGCAGTTGCAAAAGACCCTGGCCAAGACAATCAATTGCAGGACGGGAACCTTTGATTCTCAGAAGCAGGAACCTTTGCGAGGACCAAGTCAGTGCTGTCATTGGTCGGTTGTTGCTTGTTAGTGTTAGCTTTGGGCTCATACCTAATTTGAGACAATCGAGGTGATGATGTAGATTTGGTGAATATCTTCGTTGGATAGATGGGTATATTTACATATAAAAGGCATATGCGAGTCTCCGACACGCATCAGTTCGCCTACCTGATTTGGCAAGGCACTTTAGGCACCCGAACACTCACTGAGCCTACAGCCCGAGCAGCTCATTCCTCTACCTTGGGTTCCATTACCACCTCACTCGGTGCTCATTATTCCAATCCCCTCAAGTGATCGGGTAAATTTGCCGGTGTCGATACCTTGATTCAAATCTTATCTATAAGCAAATTCGGAAGCCGCCTGAACGACCGGTACCCAACCGTTTGGGCATCTCGCTTTCACCGTCTCTCCTAAGCCAGCCTGTTACTCGAAGTCGCCCCTCGATTCTCAAACCTTCCCTCGACATATCCCTCGTGGCACTTGCCTACAAGAACTCAAAGGCTCGAAACCATCAATATCGAACTCGATTGGGGACGGTCTCTCTTCATTCATAACTGAGATACTTCGTCCTACCACTCTGCCGCTTTCGTACGCCCACCTTCGTCGCAAAAGAACCAAGGCAGCACAGCACACCGCGGGAACGCATACTGAAGCACCTCGTCACATCGCTTCGCCTTGCAGCACCGCGCAAGATTCATCTCACCATCAATCCCCTGAAGCGCAACCATCGGTCATTTGGCCAACGACAATAACGCAACCGTGTCTGGGAATCCCGGCCATTCGTCAAGGCCATTACCGGAGTGCCCACTTCACCTCCAGCCCGCCCGACCTCTCCTTCCTACTTGGTGATAGCTTCCGTCCGCAAGTGGACGGCTGTCCTGTCCCACCTCCAACCTACGCCGACCCGACCTCGCACCTCGTCTCCGGAGCGCGCGAAGACGAGACACTTGCATCTCCAGACCGCTCTCTACAGTTCCATTCTTGGAAACCCGTCGGGACGTCGGGATCCCGCCTGGCCTTGCAGGAAACCATGTCGTCTCTGATCCCTCTCATCAACGATCTTTTACCCATGGTCTTCTCCTCCTCTTCGGTTCACATCACCAAAGCAAACGCACTCCGCGCCGCCCCCGATGCAACTCCAGAACCAGGTCCCGCCAAAGAGGCCGATGCTATTGTCAGCAAGAGCGACAAGCTCTGCGCTTCTGGTCAGTCACACTCTGCCCAGCCTGGCTCTGGGCTCTGCCCCGGCCCAAGCAGCACGCAACGCAACGCTGTTCCTTCACTTCTCATGCGCACTTTGTGACTATTTTAAGCAGTATTGACCCTCCAACCACATACTACATCTTCTGTGCGACATCACGGCGAGCAAGGTCAGGACCAGGCCCCGATTTCGCCTCCCTTCACACCCCCAACTTCTCTATACTTTCTCCTATGGGTCTCTAACATATGCCAAGATACCATCATTTACACGACCTCCGGCACCGGACTTCTTCTTGTCAGCCCCGGTGCAGGGCAAGAGCTCAAGCGCCACGAGATGGGCACAGGAGACTTTGCCTTTATCCCAGCTTGGACAGAACATCAGCTGCTCAACGAAACGGATCAAGACAATGCATGGGTCATCACGCGCAGTGGCCCTTTGCCCACTGTAGTAGATCTGACGGATTGGGGAGGTGACCGAGTCAAATAACCAGTCACGTTGGGTTGACTCTCTTAACCACAGGCTGGTTGTGCTGTCGCATTATATGACACTTCGACTCTGCGAGACAACACCGCCGAGACACGCAATCTTCCCTCATCGAACAGGTTCGCTTTGCCAACAGAGATGGGTTTGCCGAATGCTACCGTTGCTCCTCATGTTTTGCAGTATTTCCGTACAACATCCACGATGCGACCTCTGTCGCATTTGGAGTCAAACACTTGTGCATGGTCTCTGCGAGGGAACCACAACACGTCGATGCCGGATCCAACTGAGCGGCGATGCTCGTTCCCCGAATCAGGGATTCCGGCAACGTTACGCCGACCCTGCCGGCCAACGCCCGTCTGCTCGTCCTGCGCTCCTGCGGGGTTGGTTTTGTGCTCATTCTCGGCCAAATACCTTGCGACAGCGTGGCTGTCAACAATCAGATCCTGCCCCGACAGGCAGACGGTCACCTGCCTGGTCCCAGTTTGCTCATCAGCTGTCAGCTGGCACGTGTTGTTCGCGTGTTCCGATCTTGCATGGCGCCCGACCAGCTCCTCGGCCCAGATGGCATTCTCCCTCCAGAAGAAGCATCTACCGAGGCAGTGTGCGACTCCCGGATCTGTACTCGCAAAGTACCACAGCTGCCATTCATTGGCGCGCTTTGGCTGGCGCCGCGTGAAGTTGAAGGCCACATCAGGGAGATGGAGTAATATGCTCACAGGGTCGATGAGCACCGCTCGCGGTATCCTTGCCTGCAACTCCGGGCACCGCACAATGTGGGATGTCAAGACGGAACCGTACGAGTGGGACACGAGCACAAACTTGTTCCACGAATGGCGGTCGAGGATCTCTGTAAATTGCTGGAGGAAGGCATCTCTGTCCAAAGGTGGTTTCGTCAGTCGGAATGAGATGGGCAGGATCTCGAGGGCTATAACTCCAACACGGCCCTCTCCCTTGCGTCTGGCGGCGTTAATCTCGGCAAGGAAGCGGATGTACACCCAAAGACCGATACCGATGCCGTGAATGAAGACTACGGGCAGACGTTCGGAATTCTCGTGTGGAAGGTGCCAGTAGCTGAGTCCCACCGGTGAGCGGCGACGTGCAAACAACTGTTGAAATCGTGGCGGGAAGACGGCGAAGGTCTCATTCCTGGGCTGGGCGTAGTATTTGAAGCCGTTGAAGACAAGAAGAATGTGTGTGAGGCCGTCGATGAGGCCGATGATGGCGTACCACCAAATGCTTCGATATTTAGTCTCGATTTCGTCGAATGTGAGCCGGAGACTCTGGGCAGGACCGCGACCCGGCTGAAAGGACTCGCCCAGTAGTTGCTCAATATGAGTGATGTATTGATCCACCTCCTCGTCGACCTCGCTGTTGCCGTCGGAAGCCTCCTGGTCAAAGAAGGCCCAAAGAATGAACTCGCGAACATTATCACGACGAATGTCACCCAGTTCTGCCCCTAAAAACCACCCTCGGAGGTAGAACTCGGGATTGGGGACGGTCGTCATGCATCGGTCGAAGAGGGCCCGGCGGGCAGCCGGCGAGGACGGTGCCGGGTGCTTCGCGGCCTCCCCCAGACGACTCCTGTATGGTATCCAAATGAACAAGGCATATGCCAGCTCAACAGCCATGAGCCCGACGACAACGAATGAGGCTACCGACCAGCGAGGGTCCGGGGAGGTAACCTTGGCACCAAGTACGCACGCGGCGAGGACAAGTGCGTACGGGACGATCGGCCATTGCAGCAGGGCTATGCATATGCGAATGAAAACATATTCGTGCAGCGTACGACCGATCATGTTGCGTTGCGTTGCGTTGCGTTGTCGAGTACGGTCTTGGCGCGGAGCCTTGTGAACGAGATGAAACTAGATTTTAGGAGCGCAAGAAAAGATAACAAAATCGGTAGCCGTTAAAAAGACCGAGTTTATCATTTCAAGAGGTTGTCGAAATGGGGCCGACGTCTATGGGCGGGCATGTAAACTGTTGAGGTTCTGATGGAACTGCTGCCGTGCGTGGAGGGGCTTAAGCGTTTTGGACCGCGTACCTAGCTTCCAGGTTAGTTGTCGGGTGCCTGGCAGCGCTACGTCCTCTGCCACACGTGTCGTGCGTCGCCGCGGAAGCTGAAGTTCTGGCTGATTGGCTTGCTCAGCTTTGTCGCCACGTCAAATCCTCTGCATCACGGATTCTTTACCAACGCACCATCCCGTCTGATTTCTATGGGGCGTTTAGTGTGATGATCACTCATGTATTAAATCAACCCTAGGAAAAAAGAAGTCAGTGGGTTTAAGACGCGGGTGTTTTCAACAACTCCGCAGCGACAACGCGCTCGCTGACTTCCCAACTCTTTCCGATGAATCTTCAGTTGAGTACCGCCCACGCTGACGGTTTCCCACGGTGCCCTCAACTCCCTTCTCTTCCTCTACTATCTACAGGTTCATTGATGAATACTTCGGAGCGGCGATGACATGATTCATCCGCGTTTGCAAAAATTGTTGGGAAATCCGGACGCAATTCTTGCCGTACCTCGGCTCCCCCATATCTGCGCGGCGTAACGAGTGACGACAACCTTACGAGGGCCAACTTCCGTCCGAGGCTCCAACGGACTTTTTCTTCCCTTTTTCTTTTCATATGACTGCCCACGTCGCCATCCCTCTTATCCCCAAGATCACTCCCCGTTTTGCTGTTTTCCATCATTCGGCCGATGCAAATTTCATGTTGATCGAGGGTTTGACACATTAACGGTTCATTTACCGGGCCACAAGCGGCACGGCTCCCTCCGACGCGGTCGCATTCACGTTGTCGGCTGTCGTAAAGATATTAAAAAGAAGAATCCCTCCCAGTAGCCGGCGGGGAAGTCGACGGCAGTTAAGCTTACTTGGCGTCAGGGAGCTTGAAGAGTGGTCGAGCACTCGCTCGTAAGGTCGTCATTATAGCCGCCGGTAGTTGACAGGCCAAGTCCAGCACAACTATTATCCAAAAAATGACAAGAAGCCGGGTCCGTGATATTGCTCAACGACGATATGTTACTTCCCCGCCTCGCCGTTTCCGTTGCTCCGAGCCTCATACAAATTCTCTAATGATAAAATGATGCACACGGGATCATTCGTGCAAGAGCCTGGACTGAACAAGCACCAAAGTCTTCTGAAGCCTTGGTAATCGGCGACGAAGAATCAAACTGTCACTCCTCCTATTGTCTCAAGATGGCCCGACGTTTTGCGGTCACCCTTCTCGCAGCCTCTGTGCTGGCTCTTCCTGCTGCGGAGATACTCGAGCGCCAGGCCGATTGCAGCAAGGCAAAGACTCAAGTCCCAGCCGTCAACGACGCAAAGCTGCCCGACCCCTTCACCTTCGCCGATGGCTCCAAGGTCACTACCAAGCTTGACTGGGCCTGCCGCGCAACCGAGATTCAGAACGCCATGGAACAGTACGAACTCGGAGACTACCCAGCTCCCCCGAGCAAAGTTGAGGCTTCTCTTTCTGGCACCAACATCAACGTGAAGATTACCGTCGGAAGCGCGAGCGTTAGCATCAGCGCTGCCATCCGGAAGCCCTCTGGAAACGGCCCGTTCCCCGCCATCATCGGCATCGGGGGCGCCAGCATTCCCATACCTGCCAACGTTGCCCAGATTACCTTCAACAACGACCAGTTCGCTGCTCAGAACGGGGGTGGTAGCCGCGGACAGGGTCAGTTCTACACCTTGTTCGGCAGCTCTCACAGCGCTGGTGCGCTGACCGCCTGGGCTTGGGGTGTTGGCCGAATTATTGACGGTCTCGAGCAGCTTGGGGTTTCTCAGACCGGCATTGATACAAAAAGACTCGGTGTTACTGGATGCTCCCGCAATGGCAAGGGCGCGTTCGTCGTAGGCGCTCTGGAGAAACGTATTGCCCTGACGATTCCCCAGGAGTCTGGCTCAGGCGGCGCGGCGTGCTGGCGCATCTCGGATAGCGAGAAGAGCAAAGGCAAAAACATCCAGACTGCGGGACAAATCATCACGGAAAACGTCTGGTTCTCTCCTTTGTTCAACTCCTGGGCCACCAAAACCTCTCAGATTCCCGAGGACCATCACATGCTGGCAGGCCTGGTGGCGCCGCGAGGTCTTTATGTGGCGGAGAACGACATCGACTGGCTGGGTCCTGTTTCCACGACCGGTTGCATGAAAGCCGGAAGACTCATCTACCAGGCCCTCGGCGTTCCGGAGAACATGGGATTCTCTCTTGTTGGCGGACACAACCATTGCCAGTTCCCTAGCGGCCAGAACTCGGAGCTGACGCAGTACATCAACTATTTCCTTCTCAACTCGGGGACGAAGCCGTCAATTCTTGAGCGCAGCACCGTCAACGTCAATGTCAAGGACTATGCCAGCTGGACGGCGCCCACTCTTTCTTAGTCTTTCAAGGTGGCGTACAATGTATGGGTGACACGAGAAGGCTTTGAACAGCCATCTCTGAAGACTTCGCTGCCATGTAGGGAGTTCGTCACGTATTTGCGAATCTTGATAATAAATTAAACTACCCGTAAATTCTCCACCTTGTGATGATGTCGTATCACATCGGTCAAGTGAATGCATCGCCGATAGCAGGAGAGACAACTATCCGGGGCTGTTCGGACGGCAGCCGGGATCGGGGCCCACACTAACGGGTCCGATGTGGGGTGGCCTTCGGGGGCAGCATAATTACACACACTGTACGTACTCCGTACAGTACACGATATTCACTACTCCATGGTTGTTACTCCTGGTCGGATACTTGGGCGGTAATAACGGATAACAACCGCAGTACTAGAGCTAATAGCAGCAACGATAGGAACAGAGGTACAGGAAGTAAGTGCAAGGAGAAGATAACCTTGGAGGACTGTAGCACAACTGTGAAATGACCACCGTGCATCGATGTAGGTACCTGGTTCAGTGTTCGCGCAGTGCTCCCTCCCGTCTCCACTCCCAAAAATGTTAAGCGAGAGCCCCCTCCTGGCCCCTGCACCGTGCGTTGGGACGTCACACTCAGAGGACCTGAGTTCCTTGGGGGGGGGGGGGGGGGGGGGGGGGGGGGGGGGGGGGGGGGGGGGGGGGGGGGGGGGGGGGGGGGGGGGGGGGGGGGGGGGGGGGGGGGGGGGGGGGGGGGGGGGGGGGGCGGGGGGGAGGGGGGGGGGGGGG